CTCAGTTAATCGATCTTGTTCACGGCCAACAGTAACTACAAGAACGGTATTTTTGTTACGCATTTCTATCGTTTTGTTTTCTTTGATAGACTCTACATATTGTTGTGCTTATTAGAAAAAAAGAATCTGAAAATTACTACTTGGTTTTTCATACATCTTCTCACACACGTTTTGCATACCAAAATGCCCTTTAAGGCAACAAAAATTATATAAATGGTTGTAAACAGGGATACGAAGGAGATTAAATGTTATTGAAAATAGCTCAGTAAAGTTCTCAGAAACAAAATAAATGTTTCTGATGTAGCATAAATGTTTCTGGTGTCGAATCATTCATTTCTGACATTCCTCGGTGTGAAATTGCACTCAAACTACATATCAAAAATATCAAGACATGATACAGACTTGTACCTGTGTTGAAAAAGGTTGCTTATGGGGTGCAATGGTTGCTCGCTTTCTAAGAAAAGCTTTCTTAATGTTATAAAGATATGAAAATATTATGGCTTACACTTGAAAAAACCTTTGTAAAGGTTATACATGTCTGTAAATAGGATATCATACATAGAGGATATTGAATGAGTGTAAGTTCAATACTGAATTTATTGCACTAGTTGAATAAAATTATATTATGCGAGCCTCTGGCGAGCATAATATAATTTTATTCAACGAGTGCAATAAAGTCAGTAATGAACTTATCCGAATTTAATATTCTTTTTTTTTCACACACCCAAATTAAAGACCGTTTAAAGTGAAATAAGTGTCATTTTTCATTGACGCGCCTATAGCATAACGCTAACATACACTATATATATGTTTTTATAATACTGCACGTTTGTAACGTCGCTTTTCATTGGATAATCGTGACGTTTATATTGTTTTATATACACGTCTACTGTCGATTCATGAAGAAATCTTACTTTTTTCTCTAAAATAATTATGCTTGCTATATTATAAATTCGTTATAAAGATTGTTGACAGGATATATGGCCGTATATAAACGGCCGTTTGTAATATACCCCTCGCCTACCGGCTCGGGTTATATTTACAAACAACCGTTTATATTGAGCCATATAACCTGTCAACAATCTTTATAACTGATAGTATAACGCTAATAACGTCACGTCAAAATATATGCACGGCCGTGCAATACCATATTTACGGAGTCGCAAAATCGGCACGGGTGTATGATAAATACATGTATGTAAATATTATGATATACAGTTAAAAAACTTTGTGAATGTTATACATAAATGTAAATAGTATGGCATACACTTAAAAAGCCTTTGTTAATGTTATAAATGTATGTAAGTAGTATGAAATACTTGACGTGTATAAAAGTAACGTGTATTTTCTGTCCCAGCTTCAAGAAACATATAGATCAGGCATTTTAAATATTACATGAAGATGTTTGCATACATTCAAATGAATTTAGATACTGGTGAATTATGCTCACCAGATTTAATAATGGGTAATTAAATATCTATTCTTGCAAAAAAAATATATGTTAAGATTCTTTATACTTTTATTTGAAATTTATAAAAATCCATTTATTTGAACTGCACTCATGTTATCGTTATTTAACTATGAAAATGTTATGCATAACTACATTTTGACTTTACAGACTTCAAGAAATAAATATATTTTATTTAAAAAAATGAATTTATTTTTATAGTCAGATCCAAATACTGGAATAAACAACAATGTACAACAACAACAACAACAACAAAAAAGACAGGAAGTTTGGGTTGCTAACTAGGTGTGATATGATAAACATCCGTAGAACCTGTCATTATGGAATTGAAATAGTTAACTTTAAATGTATGTTGAAGGTGCTTTAAACCAGATCTAGGTATAAAAAGTGTACTTAACTGTTATTTCATGGAAACTTCATTAATTATTTTCCGTCGGTGATGATCAAATTATTTCATTCCACGAGAAGGCTTGATTGGCATGGCATAAAAGGGAAAAAATATTATGAATGTTTTGTTAATAGGTACTTTGATTAGTTTCACAGAAATGATTCCCAAGTGACAATTTTTTTAAAAGAATTTTGATTCGAACACTCTTTATGTTTAAAAACTTTGAAACTTGCCTAGTTAAAAACTCCCGGTCTTGTTTTGAGTGACATTTTACAGCCCGTTTACGAAAAATGTTCAAATGATTCAAAAATGGCACCAAGGGGGGGGGGGGGGGACAGTGTAACATTTACATTGAAAATATTCTGGTACGACACCTGATTTTGGTCTGATATAAAAACAAATGCGTTGTTACATTCTGAACATTGCCATCGAATATCCTCAGTGCTTGCATGGTAAACAAAAGCTATTCAAATGAATTTTCATAGTTCACAAAGTGGAATGACAAGTACAATGCGCATGAGCGAAATGCAACTTCGGTTGCTATGGAAAAATCGTATTGTTAAAAGGTCTTTAGCAAGAGATGACGTGAAGTTTCAAGTCAAAGTTAAAGAATTCAAAATCTGACAAATAAGTTTTTGCAACTTGTATAATCCCTGTCGGCTCACCTTTCTTTTGTTGTTATACGTAGAAACTTGACCATGGACCGAGTAGAAATCAAACCTAGTATCCCTGCATTTAGAGAAACGGCCATCAGTCCCCTTTATTAACAACATGACATTACATGACAGAATATTTTTTAGTACGTTCAATGTTATTATTCTATTACCACACAATATTTCTAAAATTTAGTTTCCGTTTTTATTTTCCACTTGTCGAATTTGCCTTTGTGAATTTCTTTTTATTATTTTGTAGTAATTAGATTATCGTCTATTTTCAATATATACATTTATAGACAAGATACATTTGTATACATATTGCGACGCGAGCACGGTGCTCTAGTTCGTTTGTTAGTTGTTAGATTCTTCTTTTTACTTGGTTTGTGGAATTTATAATATTTTTAGGGGGTTTTTGTTGATGCTGTACTCGCGTCGGCCGTCACTAGACGGCTTATCAAAATGGGCGGGGAACATCTCTTTAAATGGTAGCGGACTTATTCTAATCAAGGATGATGTTTTGTGTTGTTCTCTATGTTGTTCTATGATCTCCGAGTGATGATTGTTGATGTAGAAATTCAGACGAAGACTCAAAGTCTTGTCTCTCTATGGTTGATGACGGTGACTAAAAATAAATGTCACCGGCTGGAGAGTCGTAGTTTAACACAATAATTACACTATCGATAAACAGTTAAAATAATTCATTTAAGTAACAATTATGTTAAGAATTAAAAGGTGCAACAATTTATCAATAATATTTAAAGTTTGACTACTACGCGGACTGTCAGACCAAAGTTTAAAAGTTTAATATTTTAGAATAAATGTCCCCAAAAAAAGCTGGACATAAAAATTTACGTAAAGATCTAAACTATTTAAATGTAATACGTATAATTTGATTAACTTTGCCTCAAAATCAGAAATTTAATTATTTAAGAATATTTTAAATAGAAATGAGACAATACTTGTGCTCAGAAGAAAATCTAGAAGACGACTGCTCGGAACTGATTTTGGACGTTCTGAGCCGATAGCGCGCATGTGCAGTCACCGTGTCCGAGCCGATGCTCATACGCAGTACATGTAAATGAGCCGGAGATGAGCCGATATACATGTACAATGCATGTTAGGGAGCCGGGACAGAGCCGCTGCACATAAGAGAGCCGGTAATACGATCCGCATAATAATACAAATCCGACTATTAAACAATGAACGAGATGAAATAAACGCATGCGCAAAGATGAAAATGAAAGTTAATTGTTATCAACAGACACGAAATCAGCAAAATACATCTAGTCCACGCGATGACAGTCGTAAGCAGCCGTATTTAATAAAAAGGTTCAATGAATACTTACTATAGATAATTGTAATTCCCATGTTGGATGTTTCATGTAAAAAAAATAGAACGAAAAAATAATTCCATAAAAATAACCGTAATTGATGTCGTAGAAATTGTATAATTCCCTGCGGGCCGAAGCCCGCAGGGTATTGGTACGTTTAATTTTTGAGGCATGGAGGAGCACGTGACCTGTTTTCGGTACATGGAGGAGCATATGATCTGTAAACCGTACATGATTGGATAATTGGCCTTTTCGAAAACCTAGCTAAATACCGTTTGTCCGGTAGGTTACGGATTTACCTCTAGGGAATTAGTCGCAATTACACCTAATTAAGAACATAAAACTATTACGTGATATTTCTAATTTAACCATTTAAGGTGAAAAAACTGGCATGATGTATTTGAAAATTATCAATGTTTCTTTAATATCTACATGTGTATCTCAAATTTTACAAACAATAAATTGTTAACAGTGAAAATCTACAAAATTAAAACATTCTTAGTGGCAGCTGCCATAATAAATAGTGATATTTTCTGCGTACACGTGTGTGTTTTCCCTTTTTTACATGGAATTATTCATACAATGGTATTTAATCATTTTCTTAAAAAGAAATAATTGTTTTATTTTCGACTTTTTCCGGTCTCCGGTCTTCAACGGTCACAAGTCTCCAAAGACCTTATTATTGTCAACAAACGTTTATTTTCCCCCCAAACAATGTTGAAAATAGTTAAATGAAATATCTTTATATCTTTAAAAATGTTACCCGCAATAAACGATTTTACTTGTTAGAGTATTGCATAGAAACATGAACCCTCAGATGTCACACTATTAATAAATTCCCGTCTGGTTCTTGTACGGGGGGAGGGAGGGGCGTCTGGTTCTTGTACGGGGGGCGGGGGTAGCCAGATGCCTGGATAGTTACCGATCAGACTGATTATTAATTATGGTAAGAATGTAATATAGCCGTTTTCCATTATATATTTGTATATGTTTATGTATGTATACTGCTATTGCTATTGTGGGACTTGTGCATTTTGTAAATAAATTGAAACTGAAATTGGTCTGTACAATAGCAGAAATTAGTAATATTATATACCGGAATTTAATATGAAATTTTAAAAAATTAACATTAAATGGCAAACAACATTTGATTTCAGTTGCATAATAGTATAATAGTTTAAAAGAATTTTAATAATGCAATATTTACTTTTGCATAATAAATTTTGGTAACAATTTCATTAAAACTCAAAATGTAACTTTGTTGAACTTAAATGTCGCTAAACAACGCTAGCTACCTGAAATGACGTAGTCATAAGTAAGGCATAACGTTGTCTATTGTTTTGATACCCGGCTATGAATAGAACGGGGCGAAAGTTCTATATCGTACTCAGTTTAAAACAATATGATATGGCTTATATATGTCATTGGTATATTAACTTTCAATAATTTATCGAAAATTTAGCATAGATTACTGAGAAATGTAACTTGTAATGGATGAACAAGAGTTTTTACGTTATAAACTGAGTATCATCGTGTATTTATGAAATGTACCGAATGGGACTCCATACTTCGAATAAGTCAGCAGTGCGTACTGTGAGTCATTCACTACGTTCGAGAAGTATGTAATGCTGCAGTGGATATGGATTTCAAGTAAGTAAATTTTACTTGATATTTACTAATTTTGTCTGTCTTTTATGCTAATCATGATAGCACATTTTTGATAACATCTCTGTTTGGCTTCAGCTTAATTATTCACGGCATGACTTTTTAACGAAAACTGAGGTTGATGTAGATTTGTTTGTGTGTTTTGAATTTAGGTCTGCATTATACTAAATACAGTTATAAACATGGCGGATAGTGCAAGTTTCACGCGTTTCGTTAGTAAAGCGTGAAATATTTGTCTATTCGTAACGTGTATAGTTTACAATTTAAAGTATTGGTCAACACTTGTGCACGAGTTTTACGTGCTTGATAGTGTAGTATTTACAGGTTTATGTGTATGAAATATTCATTCTATCAGACGATTCAGTACAAGCAATATTTTCTAGCAAAGATAATAGGGCGGAAATTATGTACATGCACATAATGTATTTCAATTGTCATTAAACATTAGCTGAAAATGTAAAAGTTAAAATCAGACTTTATAAATAATTATATCTATTGTTATTGTATTATCATTATCATCTTTGGCCCGTATTCAGAATCGATACTTTAACATTCGCACTCAATGAGTAAATATTATCCCATATAATTGCCTAACGGTTAAGACAGTCCTCACCTTTCAGTAAATAGAGGATATTCAAGTTTTTTTTTCTATAAATACAGGATTTATTTTCATCAAGTGGTATGAAACTAAATATTTCATGAGTGGCTATAACCACGAGTGAAATATGATAATTTTCATACCCCAAGATGAAAATTAATCCTGTATTTATAGAAAAAACTTGAATTTTTTGTTTATCATATACATGTACATTTTTCTTTTTTTTACATTACAATTTGAAAGATTTCCCCTTGAATTTTGTTTATTGGCTGAATTTAGAAGAAAGTAGTCCGACAAGACACCAGTGAAAATACGGAAAATATGTTTCACTGCAGTGAAAAAATATTTTTTTTACAGTGAAATTACGGAAAATGAAAATTCGCATTTTACAATATTTCTCAATATTTCATTTATAAGCATATAATAAAGTGGTATTCAGGTTATAAAGTAAGTGTCGAGTGAACTCAGGAAAGTTGAGAATCTGTGAGATTAGGAGGGGGTCCTCAATAAAATGATACTGAATAACACTTACAGTATTGATTTCGAATTAATTTCGTCCCATGTACATCTAAGTGCATCATATATACGAACTGACAGTATTTTAGAAAATAAATGTTGGAAAACAGATACTTAAGATAGAGATGATCCAATTAAATTTATGTCTATCAGAAATTTTGATTTTCAAAGGGGTATACCCGGTGTGATACAAGTAGTATGAACTATTAAGAGTGTATTCAGCTCGCGGGATACCAGTACTTATGCCAAAAAGAAATGAATTTATACGACTTCAAGTTGGAAATTTCTTGAATTTCCTTTTATCCATAAAAATGATTGTTCCTGTGTTTGTCAATATGACCGTTGATGATTCTAGACAAGTTTGAATTGCAACATGTTTATCCTCATATTCTACAGTTAAGGTATTGTCTATTCAGCACTGATAAAAAATGTGATACGTAATAAATATCAGTCTATAAAGAAGACAAAAATAAAATTTTAAGAGGATATTTTTTCGTTTGAGTAAATATGGAATATATTTTCACGAAACGTGATAAAATGCCACATATTTTCACGAGCCGGGACGCAGTAATCTGAAAGTATTTAAATGAGAACAGTGAATGGTATATGTGTAAAAAGGTTGTTTTTGTAAGATAAATTTGAAAGAAACCATCTCATTATGGAATTACAGAGAAAAGATTAATAACAGTTTATAGGACATCTTAAAAAAAATCAACATTTTTTGTCATAATTTTCTGTCTCTGACAATAAAGATAATTTTACACTAAAAATACAGTTAAATTGCATTTTTGAAACAAATCTGATATATGAATGGTAAAAAGAAATGTAATTATGCAGTGGTTATTTCTGTCGAAAATAACGTAAAAGATTGCACATGGTAATTTCCATATTTTTGGCGGCCATCCTGGACGCCATCTTGGATTTCTTAGACCCCCAGCTCTTTCGGAAAAAATGAAATCCCATTTCGTATCGTAGAGATCCAGCCAAATATTTTGGTTTATCACACACCCGTGCCGATTTTGCGACTCCGTAAAAATGGTATTGTACGGCCGTGCATATATTTTGACGTGACGTCATTAGCGTTACACAAACATAGTGTAAAGGCGCGCTAAATGTTAGCGTGTTACTATAGGCGCGTCAGTGAAAAATGACTCTTTTTTCACTTTAAACGGTCTTTATTTTGGGTGTGTGATAAAAATAATATTAAATTCGTGTAAATTCATTACTGAATGAGCCAGAGGCTCGCATAATATAATTTTATTCAACTCGTGTATTACTTACACTCATTCAATATCCTCTATATATGAAACCCTCTGTTTATGATCGGAGATCAGTTAGGTGTTCCTAGGCTCATGAAATTTGCAGCACTACTAAAAGTCCTCGGATGATTTGTCGTATGCGTCTAAATTTAGGCATATGTATCACACTGTTTGGGATTGACATAGAATTCCCAATATATATATTTGAAAATATTTCAAAGGAAACATGACAGAAAAATATCTTCATGGCGTCATGAATAACCATGTCATAAAGTTAGCGTTGACGTTTGAGTATTTTAATTTAAAAAAATAAATCAAAATCCACATAGCAAAACAATATCTTGAATATTTGTTTAGCATTTGTTTAGCATAATTTATGTAAAATATACTTCACTAAACGAGTATGGTATGATATTACTTACATTTTAATAACAGTTGTATAATGATTTACCGCTTCAGTCATTAGGTATTCCAGCATCACAATCAAACAGGGTTGATTTGTTTGTTTGTTTTTGTTGGGTTTTTTTAGGGGGGGGGGGGATTATGTACAAAATCATTGAATTTGATACAAGAAATTAAAAAGATTAGGGTTATATAAAATTGTAGATACCAACGACAAATATTTAAATAAAGGCGCGTTATACCTCTTTCTATTCTAATTCTTTAGAAAAATAATTAAAAACTATGTGTTATGATGGTAGAAAATGTAAACAATGAAGTATTTTGACTTCCATACAAAATGATAATGCAATATGATTATACCCTTTGCAAAAGTTGAAATTTCAAATTAATGATATCACTTGTTATACGATTATATAATCAAATAAGAGATTATTTTGAAATTGAAGTGGATAATTTAACCATTTTTAAATGTTTTATTACGAATAATCAGCAACAAATATTTGTTTTTACTTTTATGTCAATATATGAACACCATACAATTCAACTTTGTAACATGATATGTATATTGCGTTCTTGTTTACGTGCCGAAGTAATATCTCCGGAATTACTGTATCGCTATGATAATGTGAGAGTGACGGTACAAAAGTTTATATTTTTGTCTGAATAGGTAAAACAGGTATTTTAGAAGCGAATATAGTACAAGAAAAAGTAAAAAGTACAATTTGAAATGTCTGGATGGCAAAGTTGGTAAAGTCATTAAAATTCATTACAAATTAAACATTTTCACGAGTGCGAGTCTCACAAGCTTTTTCTTTTTCTTAATTTACTGAAGATACAAATGAATTGGAAAATAAAGGTAGTTTCGTTATGATATCTAATAATTCACCGGTAATAATATTTTTTATCATGTGTAGTGTAAAATATGCAGTAGTAACAGTACGAGTATTTTGTGCCAACTCAGCTATGTGTACATGTAATAATTCCGATTAGTATTCAATGTAAGATTGTACCAACTTTTATATATTACTTTTGTAAACAAAACAAAAAATATTGCGATGATAAGTTTTTAGAAATGAACACAACACTTAACACGTCTTTTCATCAAGAAAAAATAAAACATATTCGTATTTTATTGTCTATAGACATAGACATTATTTTCGAGAAAAAAGTACAATCCGAACTAGTCTTGCATTGATATTGAACTAGAAGATTAACTGACAACCTTGCTGACAGTTGATTGAGTTGTCGATATTTTAATTTATATCGCAAGCCAGGTGATAAACACAATATGAGACAAAAGTTGTTGTATTTTCTCGTGGTAAATTAAGAAATAAGCCTGTATTTTATTTCAATAATGCACCTCTAGAAGCTGTAGATGATTTTAGTTATTTAGGTGTGATATTCAACTTTAATGGTAAATTTAATAAAACAATAAAACACTTGACAGATCAAGCTAGGAAGGCTATGTTTAGTATTTTAACTAAAATTAAGAAATTGTGTTTGCCAATTGATATTTAGTTACAGTTGTTTGACAGTATGGTTAAGCCAATGTTATTGTATGGGTCTGAGGTGTGGGGATTTGAGAATAATTCTATTATTTCTCAGTTTCAATTAAAATTTTAAAAGTATATACTTAAACTTAAGATGTCAACTCCTTCGGTTATGGTCTTGGGAGAATTAGGTGCATTTCCTATTGAAAATGAAATTACTTGCAGAATGTTAATTTTTTTGAGTAAATTAGTTAATGGTAAAAATGATAAAATATGTGCTTCTTTGTACCAAACTATGTATAATCTTCATGAAAAGGGTATTTTACATCAGTGGATTGAGAAAGTAAAATCTACTTTGAATAATATTGGTTGTTCTGATTTTTAAATAACTCAGAATGTTGCAAATTTTAATAATTTTAAATATGTAATAAAATCACGATTACGTGATCAGTTTTTACAAGTATGGAATAGTGAAGTTTTTGATTCTGCTAAGTGTTTAAATTATAGAATATAAATTATATAGGATATTTGTTTGTTTGTGTGTAAGATGAAATTTTATTTCATCGAGTGAGAATACTGTTTTTAAAGTTCATGAAATGAAATAAAATTACATCTTACACAACAAACAAACAAATTTTCTTTTTATTTTATGCTTAAAAACAAGTTAAAACGAAATTTCCATAATATTAACGTTAATATTAAAATCTGTTTTCCCCCATTGAGATCCCCATTTAGTCGGAATTTCTCATTAAAAACAAGAAGTCTTGAGCTGATAAATAAGTCCGACAATCAACGTTAAATGACGGTGATATTATTCATTTTATTAAAAAAATATGAATGATCGCTTGTTTTAATAATAAAATCAAACAATTCTTGTAGGAGAAAAAGTCCAACCATCCATCCATATTTCTGTTACTTACTGCGAATTTATATTAGACCTGGCTTTGTAAAATGTAAGCGGCAGCCAATTTTTTAAAGTTGTGTATTTCATGGGAGGAAAATAGTTGTGTTTGATTCAGAGGGATATCATTTGGATTTGTTAGTCATACACCTTTTTAAAAGAAAGAAAACTTATTTGAGGATTGCAACAGACAAAAAATAAGTGTTGACAGATGTGAAAACATTCAAAAAAGCAGCTAGGAAAATGGAAAACTTGGAAGCTGGCTCAGGAACGCTGGGTTGTTTACTTGTTCTTCGAGTGATGGCTGTCAGTGCTTTTCAATTTTTCATAAAGCATACGGCAGTTATTGCTCGTAGGATGCTTTAATATGCCCAAATGTCACCAAGAGCAGTTTTGCATGTGGAAGGAATGTATTTTTCAGACTGTAAAACTGAAACCAAAAAAATTGGAGACGAAATTTGTTGATTGGAATTTTAATGAATAGAAGTAAGTTTACTTCTTTTTATTACTTTTGACATTTTAGTTTATCAATTTCAGTTTTGCTTTTTCTTTAAACAGCCTGACATTGTCAGAATTGTCAGCAAAAATAAAATTGTGGTACCACATGGGGAACATCTTAAAAAAGTAGTATCGTCATTGAAAATTGTGAAATTATATTTTGATAATTTTCACTGTGAAATTATCAAATATAATTTTCACGGATAAATCAGTAATCCACTGAAATCATAAAATAAATAAAACTTAATTTAAATTAGAACATTATTTACTATGTTTACCGAGAAATTTAGCAATTACTCTTTGTAAATTTAGATGTCTCAATTCTAATATTCCTATAGAGAAAGGTCGCTATTTTGGTATTGAAAGAGAAAATAGAACATGCTCACTTTGTAATCAGCAAGAAATAGGTGATGAATTTCACTATATTTTTAAATGTACTTATTTTAATCATGAAAGACACAGGTATATCAGTAATTATTATTCAAGGTTTTCTTAGTATTTTAAATTTTAGGCTCTAATGTGTAGCGACAACAGAAATACTTTATTTAATCTAGCCATTTTTGTCAAATCTGCCATGCTGAAATTTCAATATTTGCTTATTTACTTCTATGCCTTGTTTGTATTATTATTTTTTTTGTTTTGTTGATTGTTCACAATTATGCCCTTAAGGGCCATGAGTTTTTGTTTATAAATAAAATAATGCATTGATAACTGGTTTACACTGTAATAGTGAACTTGTCCGCTGTGTCACTAAATAATTATTCTTAACGGACAGTACAGAGTGCCTTTATTTACGGTGTTTTGATTGTTTGACATTCCGGTTTTATGTTGAATAGGTTATACCTATGAAGCCAATCAACCAATTCGGTATTCCTACATAATTAACTAATAATTACCAATTTTCCCGCAAATGGCCGACTATAAATCAGACAGTGGTAACGGTTAAAATACATTTCAAACAAGCGGCGTCATGTCGAAAAAATGCAATTTTTGGACAATATAAACAGTTTCAGTGGATAAGTTTCTAATTTTTAAGAGTCAAGTTTTCAAATAAGAGAAACTTTAAATGAAGAGGATATTTGTTCTATTTTTAAGTTTTAGTAGATCAACTGATGTGCTGTAAGAGTGTATGTTTCAGGTGCGTTAGCTCGTAATTCAGCTGTTTAATTTCACCGGTATTCAGAATAATAATAATAATCACGACACTTACTTAAGACGTATTTTCAGATTGATGTTTGAGAAGGATACACAACAGCGCATGATGTTCATCCGGATTGGAAAAGTTGGCTATTCTTGGAAATAGTGTTCAAAATTTCAAGTAGAATACTAAATGTTAGACAAGTTACATTGATTATTTACAATGAGGTTCATGTGTTTGAATTTAATATGAAATGTATTTATTTCAGGTATGTGATTTAAGACGTGAGTGAGGTTGTTGTTATTTTTGTGGTGTTTTTTAGACGTGGTCAGTTCTTTGTTGAGAAGGCAGTCCCCTTTACAAAGCAGGCTGTGATAGAGAAATAACTTCGGATTGATGAGCTTTCGCATTTCCCCTTACTGAATTCTATATATTAATGTAAGTACGTATATAAAATGATGATTTAGAAATTAAATAATCTGTCATATGATTTGACTTTCCTTGTATATTACATTTTTCAATATTTATGATATACGTTAGGACAAAGACGATAATAGTTTGATATCTAAGTTGTTATCTATCACGTAGTTCATATTATTATCTTTAATCAATTTAACATTAAACTTTATTAAAGTATGTCAACATGTTAGTCTGTCTTCAGTTTTATGTCACTTCGCATTTTCATATAGGATCAATACATGTATGTACTGAAATTTTAGTAAACCTTTACTGAATGGGTTGACTTCAAATTTTGTATAATTGTTTTGGATATTCTAAAACAAAATTAAAACAATAATTAAAGTAAGACTTAAATTGAAAGTTTGTGTTTGTATTTAAAGGCTTACTGAAAAAAACAACGGACCAAACAATTTCACAATGGCGACTTTCAACACTCAAAACTTTTCTTCGTCCTTCAACTTCGAAGATTTTTCATCCCGATTGAACGAGCCAGAAGCTAAACTTATAATTGTTGATATTGCTAATGAAGTATCTTCAAGTCAAGGTTAGAGTAAATTACATTTTATTGAATTCAATAGACACGTTAAAAGTAACCAGAGCGATCAGTGATCACATGTGTCGCCTCATGATAGCTAATTGCATGTTGCAGGACACAAAAATCATTAACATGGCAAAACGCGTTTTTGTGGTTGTCGCCTCTACAGCGTAGTGGCAACTTGTAGGGATAACTTCTCCGTCGTCGGTCTCTTTGTTCGTCCTTCACATTCTTTTCCGAACTACTCCTCTTTTACCCCTGTCACACTAGGGCTGCGTTCTCACGGCGTCCAAAAACATCTGAACGCCGAGTTAAGCGCAGTAAGATCGCAAACATGGCGACAACATCGCCGCAACATCGCAGTGGCATCGCATAGAAAACGCGCATTTTGAGCATGCTCAAAACAAACGCCGTCACTCGGCGTTCTAATAAGACCGCTATGGGATAGCAGTAAGGACGTCGTAGCTGCTCAGTAGTATCTCCTACAACGCAACAGGAGCGCCGTGAAAGCGCAGAAGGATCGACGAATGAACGCCGTGGTTAGCCACGGCGCTTGTACGGAGATTGTACGGCGTCTCTACCGCCCTTATACTGCGTGTGTACGGCGCTTTTACGGAGCCTTATTTCTCTAAAACGCTCATACTGCGACTGTCATTGCGACCATTGCGCTCTTTAGGCGATTCTGCTGCGTTAATCTGAAATTGCAGAATACAGTAACAGTAGAATCCCTACTTAACCACCCCGGAATTAAGACCACCCCTCTATTAAGACCAATCTTTCAAAGAACGGAATTTTCTATTCCTTATGTTAATGTTAACATGATCCACAATGAAGGCCATCCCATTTATCCACTTTTAAGATTATCAGCTTCAGTCCCAATTCATTGTTCTATTTATTTAACCCCATTATAGAAACCACTGATCTTCCAGTCAATATCTATTCAGATCTCAAGTTGTATGAATTTCCTTGGCACTGCATGACAATTGATGAAACTAGGTGTTTAAACTGTTATGATTGTAAAATTGTATAAAGGTGAGAAAATAAACTTCCATTGATTTATTGTTACGTTCTGCACATTTATTTTGTGAAGAAATAATTTCTTAATTAGATCTAATAGGTAAATAAGGTACATGAAACAAGCCATTTGAATATTTAATCTTTAATAGATCTATTAAAGATCCTGCAACACATTTTTTGCCGGGTTGCACAGTTGCAAACCCGGGTTATAGTATGGTGAATGTCGGGCGGCGGGCGGGCGGGCGGGGAAAAACTTTCGTAATAGTTTCCTCAGCAACTACTTATCACAGCCCCTTGATATTTGGCAAACATCATTGACACATGGTTCTATACCGTGGGATTTGATTTCAGGTCTGTCGCTCATCCACTTCCTGATTATCGACTTAGTTAAATTTCAACATTAATGGTCAATGATAGGAAATTTTGTAACAGTTTTCTCAGCAACTACTTATCACAGCCTCTTGATATTTAGTTTATAGCATGAACACATGGTACCATACCGTGGGATTAGATTTCAGGTCTGTCGCGTATCCACTTCCTGTTTGAACAACTTAGTTAAATATTCAACATTAATGGTCAATGGTAGGAAATTTTTCGTAACAGTTTTCTCAGCAAGTACTTATCACAGCTTCTTGATATTTAGCATACAGCATTGCCTCATAGTCCCATACTGTGGGATTCGATTTCAGGTCTGTTGCTCATCCACTTCCTGTTTGCCGACTTAGTTAAATTTTCAACATTAATGGTCAATGGTAAACATTTTTTGTAACATCAAAGCCTCATGATATTTGGTATACAAATGCAACCCGGCCTTTTCTGTCTTTGACCCATTTTTTATGGTTTTAAATCATAAATATGATACTCAAATTAAGATTTATCAATACTGTAGGTTCCAAAAAAGCATTATTTATAAAGATATTACAGAATTTAACATTTTATGTAAATAAAGAGTGATACAAATGTAATAAAATATTTTCTATAAAGTTTAAGTCAAATTTTACAATAAGAAATGAATGCATATATCTTAATTATTACATATCATATGCACAAAAAATTGCAGTACATATTTTACATATTCTTCGATGTTTGAAAATTGTTTTAATTGAATAATTATGTTAATATATATAATTTCACTTAGTGTGGTAAACCACTTTGATCATAAAAATATCTTCAGACTTATGTTCTAATTAGAATTAAATATAATAACATCACTTTATATTAATATTTGTAGGTTATGATATAATTGTTTAAACATGTTTATACATAATAATTCAAATAAAGTGGCCATGAAATATATGTACTTTGATAATTACTCGTATATCCACGATTAAGACCACCCGTAAATAAGACCACTTAAGTAACGCCTTTTAACGTTATTTTCATTGTATATATAAAATGTACATGCAAGTAAATACCCTTTCACCATGGATGTTGAACGGCAGCAAGGCGGAATATTGCTTTCTTGCATGCAGGTGCAGCAGGTACACGACTATTCAGAAGTGAGTCGCTGGTATATGAATCACGATTTCAGCGCAGTGTGATCGAGCGCCGCAAGCACTGTGTGAGTGCCGCGAAAGCGCAGTGGAAGCGCAAAGAACGCAGTAAAAACGATGACCGAACGCAAAGCGCAAAGAACGCAGTAAAAACGATGACCGAACGCAGACAATCGCCAATCAAACGCGGTAAAACGCACTTCAACGCCATGGAAGCTTCGTAGCAACGCCATGATCGCTATGAGGACGCCGGGAAGACGTCGTGAAGTATCCATGTCAACAAAAATATCAGATTTTTCTTGCGATCTCGCTGCGTTTTGTGAAGTTCAACAACGCTGTGCCAGCGCAGTAAAAGCGCAGTCTAGTGTGACAGAGCCTTTACTTAACATTACGAGCAATAGTTAATTTCGTTTTTTATAATTCTTTTAAACATTAGCGTTTTACTAGTTCATATCATGAAAAATAGTAGTAGTGAACATTATAGCTGCAATATTATGCACTATTATATGACCAAGTTAACAATGTACCGAAATTTAGATGCTCCTTTAACTTTTGCACTTTCGCGTATGACTGAAATACGAAATGCGCAATTCTCAAATTTGATTTTCTTGAAATGTTGTCGTCGGAGGCATGCAGCTTAATTACTGTTTATTCCAATAAAACGATATAACGATATATATGAGTTTGATAACATAACATAATTTGTTCCCCTTGCAATATGAATGATAAATTCTTTTTTCTAATTTCTTGAATTTTGAATATTTTTATTTATGAAAAATCTTAGTACATTGGTCTCAAAGATTGATTTCTATGAAAATATTTGGGCTGATCTGGAGGCATGCAGTTTTCAGTGTTAACAATCCACTGGCATACGTAACAACCCTTTGCTGTTTAGTGTTTAAATATCAAATATAAGTAATCATTGCCATTTCTGAAGAGTTTTGTCGTGATACAAGTTAAAGTAGCACGCCTCCAGATTCCTGCTAATGTTCATGAAAATTTTGAAAATGTATTCAAAGGTAAAATATTATTAAGCTGACAGAGTAAATAATATGCACAATTCAAACGGCACTTACAACCAATGTAAATTACAAAAAAAGAGGTCAAAATATGCAAAATAAACCCTTACTGTGTTAGTAACGCAGTAGAAATATGGTGAAAATTGGCCATCAATCGCAAATAACATGGAAATTATTACTTTTATCTTTAGTCTTTAAACCTCAATACATTTTTCTCAAGTTTTATTTTGAAATATTTTGGCTCATCTGAAGGCATGCAGCTTTAAAAGAATATACTTTAAAACACACTAAGTTAATAAACGATATGTTAAGTTTCTTGGATAAGGGCAATTCAATTGTATGAAATAAAATAATGTATTAGTTTGAGCTCTGTAGCAGTTTTGTAAATTTGTAGAAATTCCGTCAGATCATCTTACAAGTTGACCTTTTAGCATATTTCTAGCGGCAAACAACCGAAGAGACATTCATTTTATTTGGCTATAATATTTTACAACTTTCCCATTTCATAGCACAGCAAGGGTACCAATAATTATGTTTCTATCTAAAGTAAAGTAAGATGTTTAATATTCTGACTTGAGGTAAGTGTAGGTACTCACACGTTTTATTTCAACAAATTTAATATCTTACAAACTCTTCTAACAACCCGAAAAGCACGAAATATGATTTCATATTGTAATTGAAAATGCATTTTTTTCATTTTATACAGTAGGTAAACCTGATATAGAAGACGACCAAAAAAGATGGCTGATTGTTGGGATATGTCTACACAGTGTCATATCTCCTGCATTAAGAAAGTATATACCACCTGTTGTAAGCCAGCTCTACAACAAATTGAAGCAAACAAACAAGATAGACACACAATCATTTGCGCAACACATGAAGCGTTATAAACCAACAAACAAAGAATTGAACTACGAGGCGATCAATAACAACAGTGCCATACCAAAAGTGAAAGGAAAAAAAGATGAACAGAAATACAACTATGATGTAACAAACGATGTAGATCTGACTAAACTGTTCATGATTACCAGCATGGCACACTATACCGGATTCGACGACACATGTGACTCCTCAGCTCTCCTTGGGAATCATTGTTAACATAGATACATTCCCAGCTTTACCACGAAAAACGGCTGAAAAGGTACTTATTTCTTATTTTTTTAATAAATGATTTAATTACTGTATCACTTCATTTCAGATTTAAAAGTTAATAGGCAACTTAGAACGATTCAAATCAACGATTTATTTTAAATAAAATAAAAAAACAACAACAACAAAAATATGCTAATATGTTTAATAATGTCAAACGAATTACATATTTACGACAATAACACTAGATATACATAATTTACACTGCCTGTGACAGTATAAATTTAGACATTTAATTTTATATGATCTCGTGACATTTATAAAAGTATATATGAAAATAAAAAAGTTGTTTTACAGTTAAGAACGGATATTCGAAATCCGTGGGCACACTGCAACTTTTCTGAATGGGACGTGATCAAGTACCAAAACTCATTCCAACTGATGCATCAGTTCATTAGAAATCTGTTACTTCCAGTTCAAGATGAGACAGCAATTCTTGCACAGCTGATGAAATGGCAAACAAATGGTTCGTTTGACATGTTATATTTAAGATATTCTTTCGATAAGCTGATACCAGGAACGTTGATTTACTTTTCTTATGATATGACTGAAGTCATAAATTCTTAAACTTGTACTAAATTTATATACAAATTTCGAATATTTAAACAATCTATAAAATTAAAAGTGTGATTGCAACTTTGGGTACTTATTATTGAAAATAAAATTATGTTACAGGACTGCAATTTTTGCAAGGGACAACACTTGGACTTGAACTGGTGCAAGAACTTAAAAATGAGACCAGGGCATTAAGTAAATACATTCTTGATGTTGTTTCAAAAAATGATACGAGTTTTCAAGTTGTTCACACATCGATACTGTCAATAGAAAGTTCGTTAAATAAAACACTTGAAAGAATTAATAACATTGAAACTCAGAGTCTTCAGATGAAAGTGGACATACAGTCGTTAACAGATGCGGTGACAGGTATGCAAGATTCACAAAAAGCAGATTTTGAAAGTGTTGAAAAGATGAAGGCTGAATTGAGCAATGTTCAAACAATAAAACTCATTCACAACTTGCTGATTCAACTATTAAAGTTTCCCAATTAGAAAGTCGTGTAGACAGTCTTTCATTGAACGTTTCTGGAAATATGAATACATTGCATGACATAAATACAGAGGTAAATGTTGTAAAGAATGAACTAAAGGGGACACAAGAAGCTCTTAAAACTAGTACACTTAACTTTCAAAGTACAAAGTCAGACGTCGCTAAAAATACTTTGGATATCGCTAATATAGCAAAATACCTATCATATGACAGACCCAATGGAAAAGTATTCTTTTATCCTCCGGACAGGGTTTCTACATTCGTTAGTCGCCTAGATGAATTGGAACAACTGCAAAAAGGGTTTAAAAGTCGAAGTAGTGAAACACATACACAAGTTATTTGCGGGTTAGGGGGAATCGGTAAAACAACGTTGGCAGTAGAATATGCATGGACATTTCAAACATTTTATCCTGGAGGTGTGTTTTGGATGTCAGCAGAAACAAATGAAGCATTGGAAGATTCTGTACAACGTCTTGCTATAGACACAAATACTGTTGGAAAGAATGCTAAAGAAACGCTAGGTTAAAACGCTTAAATGGTTGTCCTGTGTTCAAGAGAGTTGGCTCTTGTTTATCGACAACGTGGACATGGATGAAATTCAGGGAAGTGTGAAAGAAATACTTCTCTCACCTTGGAAAAGGGGTTCAAAGGGGCATATCATTATCACTTCTCGGAGAGAAGCACAGAACGCAGAAGAGACATTCTATGTGAGATTGACGACTGCATCTCTTTAGATGTTTTAAATAGGAACGAAAGTGTTGAATTTATGATGATACGTACAGGTCAGAGTGGTAAAATAACGATAGTTTATTAGAATTAGCAGAAGAGCTCGGTGGACTTCCACTCGCTTTGGAACAAGCAGCTGCTTACATAAAAGCTATACACTGTTCATTTGATGAGTATCTGAAAAAATTTAAACGGAAGAGATTAGGTGTACTCAAAGCAGTAAGATCACAATATGATGTGTCAAAAGAACGTTTAGCGGTGCGAACAACTTGGCAATTAAACTTTGAATACATTGAAAAACAATCTCGGGAAGATGGACTTGGATTTTCAGCAATAACTGTGATGGAAATTGTGGCCTTCCTATATGCTGACGATATCCCGATGATTCTTTTAAATGTTGGCTCGCCAAACATTCTTGACGAAGATCTACTCGACATTTTTGAAGAAGAAATGGGAATTAAACAAGTTGCTGAAATACTATCACGATTCTCTTTGTTTAACAGATACAGCACTAATAGCATGAGTGTGCATCGTTTAGTTCAGGAGGTAATCCGACAGAATATTAAAGGTGCAGAGAGAAATGCTTTCATCTTACAGTGTGCATCACGAATGGTCAATATGGCGTTAGAAAACACACAATCGCCAACGGATGCATTACAAGAGGAAAATATAGGGAGAGCTTCCTTACAAATGTGGAGTAAGTTAGCACTCAATGCAAATACTCTAAAAACTTATCTGTTTGACTACACAAAAAGACATGAAACATCGAAACACATCTGCTTTAACATAGAAACAACAAGGATTTTACAAACTAGTGCAATATATCACAGTCTGTACCAAAGGCAGGACGAGGCCTTAGCATGTCAAGCGCAAATGCTGAGCATTATACCGGCTCTTTCAATTTCAGAACGTGACTATAATTATCTGACCAGAATTAAGATACCTCTTCTACAGAATGATAGGCTTATTCTTCAAAGTAGCATAACAATGGTTATACCAGCAGACTCGGTTGCATCGTCAGATCCTAGTCAAGACCAAACTATCGCACTTTTGGATACAGAATCGTTGCACAAGATGGGAAATGATGCATTTAAGGAGGCAAGATACCAAGTTGCAATACAATGTTATTCTGAGGCGATCACAGCAAGTAATGAAAAGATTGACATAACAAAGTATCTAACAAACAGAAGTCTGGCGTACTTAAGAATATGCGACTATGAGAATGCTTTACGCGATGCAGATAAGTGCATACAAATCGATCCGAAATCATACAAAGCCTATTGTTGGAAAGCGTATGCAATAGGAAATCTCATACGTCTTGAAGTTTTACCTAAATCCTGGGAGTCTGCCGGATTAGCTGCAGCAGCTGTTGCTGGACACCTAAACAAACAATGCTTACTGGAATACAGGATGAAAATTGAATATCCGGTGGTAAGATACAAAATAATTGAAAATGAATCTGAACTTGGCATGGAAATATCGTCCATGATGAACAGGACGTATACAACATTACTTTTGCGTAGAGGCAGATACAAAATTGCGCTTGATAAAGGGGAGATCACTACCAAAAGCGTTCAGATCATTGGCATTGAGGATGAAGTTCAAATTCATAGCACATTTGGCGTTGCTTTGGTAAATCCGAAACAGTTTTTGCCCCAGTTTCAGATTGAACAAAAGATAAATGTTTATTTTGAAAATGTCTCTTTTCCAAATGAAACTGGTCAGATAACAATCCGCACTGGTGTTAATGCAATATTCTACAAATGCAAATTCTCAAACGCGAAAAAGGGATGCGAAAAATTTCCATTTTGCGATGGTTATTCCGGTTGTGTCAATCCATGTACTGACGAATGCAGCTCTTTATTTTTGAAACAAAGGAATGTGTCAGCTCCGCATCCCAGTGGCGTTGTTGGTTGTCCAGGCATTTGTGCAAGTGAAAATGGAAATGTATTGATTGACAACTGTCTTCTTGATAGGTGTGGTGGTGGTGGAACTTTAAGTGCAGAAGGGGCTGTGTTAAAGATCAAGAACAGTGTTGTTTGTAATATGAGACAGATGGGTATTGAAGCAAGAGATGGTGGCACTACCATTGTTGAAAATTGTACAATTTGTGACAATCAGTTTCACGGGGTGGCTATAGGACCAATGGGAAAAGGACATATAAAAAATTGTATCATACAGAATAACAAAAATGAAGGTATCTGGTGTGGTGGCAACTTGACAAATGTAGGTGAATCACGTTTAGCATTCACAACAGATTCAGGAGGTGGGTCTACATGCAAGATATTGGATAATTTGATCTATCAAAATGGTATGTCAGGAATTTCATTAGATGGTGGATCGTATGATGTGTCCGGAAATAGAATTTTTGACAACTGGCTTTGGGGAATGATGGTAAAATCTCGATCAACAACAAATATTTGCAACAACGATATATTTGAGAATAAATGCGGTGGTATAAGGATTGGAGTAAATTATTCAGGTGTAGTCGTATTAGATGGAAATTCCATCCGGGATCATACTGGCCCTGCTATTCACACAGAAACGGATCCAGATGTGAGTCTTTTCGGAAGATCATTGCCCGCAAGTCCGATGATGAAAGATATTGGTATGTTGGATGATGAGAGCAATATATTTTCAATACCACCTATTATTACTACAAGGAATGTTTTTGAGAAAAATAACAGAGGGCAGCAACATCCAAGTAAGATGTCAGTCCTTCTAGAAACTTGTTGTTTCTGTCATGCTTTTTCCAAAACATTGAAAAAATGTGCGAAGTGTAAAAAGGCAAGTTATTGTTCAAAGGAATGTCAAACACATCACTGGAAACGACACAAGTCCATATGCAAACTAATTGTTGAAAACTTTACAGTAGATATTAAGATGGTAAATACAGTGAAATGGAACGATTTTCTCAGTCCTGGAAAGTCTGTAGTGCGGGGGACTAATGCTCCGTTACCAGGTTTAGGAAAGGGTCAACCTCCAGACAAATTAAGTGAAAGGAAATTTATCATTAAAGTACAGTCGGGAACAGAATACACGCCATATAATCCAAACAAAGATTTAAGGCTGTATGACCAAACACAGACACTAGACGTATTTTTCAAAAGCCCTACAATTTGTCACTTGGTTTTTGAATGTGGAGTTCTTGCTGCAACAAAATTCACTACTAAGAAAATGTTCTGCTGGGCTTCTTATAAATGTAGAGGCAGCGTTCTTCGTATCTATACAGACAACTTGCCTCCTTTTCAAACGTGGTAAAGTTGTGTTACTGTTTTGCTACTTTCAAGCAAAGATTCGAAAAAATCTAGGAGAAAACAGTTGTTTGTCAAATTCCTAAGAACCTATATAAAACTGAGTCGTCATGTAGTCTACCATGGTAACATATAATATGATGCAGACACAGTGTAGTTTAACATGAACTTGGTCGGCAAGAATCATTCTCGTAGACATTAACTACAAGTCAGGAAAATAAAAAAAAAATACTATTAATAGGATTACTACACACTTTATTATTTGAAAGATTTCTAAATGAATAATTTATAGATTTTCTGGTATATACACATACTTATACTTAATAATAATAAAGGGAAAGAAGGGATTAATCTCATTGGATTTAACGGCATTTAAATCAGAGTTCATGTGTGATTTTTACGAATGCGTCAAAGAATTTATACATATATGCATGGATTTATTGTAATATAAATCCGTGATATATGGACGGTGGAAAATTGAGATGAAAAGAAAAGGTGACCAAAAGAATAAAGAACGTTCGCCTATCCAAATGATCTCCTTCTTAACCATCGTCAGTGTTAACTTCTTAGGTAATTTCCTACGATTGTATCCTTTTTAAGAAGCGCTAGAGGCAGTACATCGTCGGATAGCAATTAATATTTATCATATCACATGTCATGTTACATGTTAATCGGCCGAAGGTATCCGACGATGGAGGCAGTATCATTATTCTTTGTTATAACTATGGAAATCTTGGTCTATAAGTGTTGTTTTTACGTTGCTGTTTAAATGATATTGTTTTGATATCAGAATCCAGTACCTTTTTCCAATTAAACATTTTTCTGGTGAAAAAATTATGTCAAATCAAAAATCACTCACTATGATATGTAATAAATATTTTTTTTAATTTCTATGTACAGCGGACGCAGTGTTGTTTATTTGTGATTTTAGATAAGTATATTTGTTTTAACGTCGTACTTTACTATTGGTTATGTTTATTTTGAAAGTAAGTCAGTAAATATGCTAACTATGATTTTTTTCTTGTATTTTGTTACAAAGACAATTTGATGATTTTGTAAAAAAAAATGTATTAACAATTAGAGTTATGCACATTTGTAATATCAATTTTCATTTGACACTTATGACATTTATTTATAGTTTCTGTATACACAGATGCTGCAAAATTCATGAATCAATTATATCTTAATTGAAGAAAACAGTTGTATCATAAATTTGTTATTTTTCTCAAGTTATATAACTGTTTGTTATATAAGCTTTCATAGAGACACTGATTTAAATTATAATAGTTAATATTGGGTCATATAGCATGTTATAAACCTCACATATTGTATATGGATGCAGCTGTTTCCAATCAGTGTTCAATGAAGATTTTTTTCTTTCATCCTTTTCTTATTATTTTATTAGATTTTTCTTAGATGTATCGATCAATTGTCATTTCCGTATTAAGAAATTGAAGATAATGAAAGAAAGTTGAAAAAAGAAGTATTGAATTGAAGGTGTTAACAAAATAATCATATGATTTGTATCTTATTTGTGGGAATAAAATTTGAACAAAAAGAGTTCGTCAATTTGAAAGTCTTGAAAAATAACACTGACATGTAAAATAAGCTGATATAGCACATATCTTAGTGATTGAATATTGCATTCAACAGCTGTAAAATTATGATTGAATTACAATGACTTGAGTTTCCTTTTCACTTTTTCTGCATCAATTTATTAGAAAAATATGTCTTATATATACTTCATTCGCAGGGACATATGTTACCGATATATTTCTCTTTATCAAAATTATTACATGGATCTGTTTTATTCCAGATACCAGCTCCTGTCAATTTTCTTACATCTTTTTTGTTAAGTATCTGGTCAAATATCTAATATCCATTAACCTAACCAGTGGGAAGTTCCAGTGTGCGAGAATGAGTCCTTTATAGCAAGTTTTATATAGATATTGAAACATCGCACAAGGGTCATTTATTTGTTTCAACTCGACCTTCACATTTTTATAGGTATAATTTCACTTGTAATTACCGACAGAAGTCAATGAAAATATATGTATAAAATATGAGAAAGAAGTTCTACAATACAATTGCGACGTATATTGAAACACAGGCCCAGATGTAATCTAACCACACATGACTACCGGAACAGTAAGAGCTAGACAACGAAAAAGGTTTATGAGATAGCATAAGGGCGGGGAAACCAATTACTACATGTTAGTAATTTAGATGTTATCCGGAACCCGGCAATTTCCTAGCCAATCTATATAGGTACAAACAAACCTTTACCATTAAAGTTCACTATCCGCCAACCCTTTGCGCTTATTTTCGAAACTGTAACTGTAAAAGTTTGTACCTACAAATAAGCTGGGAAAACCCCAAATATTCATAAGTCATAAAAAGTTAGTCTATTAACAGACAATTTAGGAAAATCATATAGTGAATTAAATGGGAATACTAAAAGATATGATTAAAGGGCCTACATGTATACAGGAATAAAAGTCAGTATAAATTTGCGCAAGAATAACTTATCAATTAAGCATGTCCGTTTTATTGTCTCCAGTTTCATAACATAAAAAGACAGAAACTGAAATGTATTGGAAACGAAATCATCTATCAAGTTTAAAATGTAAACGGTACCTCAAAGTATTTAAATTCAGTAGATCTTAACCCATATGGGAACGGAAGCACTAAGTCTATGTTGTAAGTATTTATTATGAAATTTAAACTCTATTAAAAGAAAAGTAATAATTATTTCGAAATAGTTCAAACTATGTTTTTTTCTCTTGCTGTCAGGTTTTTCAAACATGAAATAATGATAAAAAATAAAAAGCGCATACTAACTGCATACACTTGGACAAAGTCATTTTAATGTTTCTAAATTAATTTGCACTAAAAACAACGAACATATTTAAGAAGAAAAAGACGGTATCCAATTATACGTTCGTCAGAAGCCTTAAAAATGAAATGTTCGCTGGTGACTTGTGAAATTGAAGGAAAAACATGACAATACAATTTCAAACATTTCTGGAGATACCGTATAGATTCAAAGACTTCTATATTTTTACATACGCCACGCGCGTTAAAAATGAGTTTTCAGTAATCGTTGACCATTCTGAAAATATCTTAAAAACATTGTGAAAATCTAAACATTACATAACTTGTTTGTCAAAATTCAATTCTGAAAACTGTCATAAATTTTTGTCTTCATGTGTATAAAAAGTGAAATGCAAGTTAGTAATTGGCGCAATTTCAAGGCTATTTTGGATAAAGAAGTAATGACATATACATGAATGTATATTAATCTGTAGATCTAAGATCAATACAATTGTCCTGTGTAAAAAATGTAAAAAAATAATAACATTCATACTAGGATAAATTGTCTTTGAATAAAATTTAAAGAGGAATATAGCAAGCGATTACAAATAAAGCAAATAAAACTTATCACGTATTATTAAAAACGTAAGTAATTTTGACAATATTGAAGACATATACTAACAAAAATATGCAATATGACATGGTTAAAGCTACATTAAATAAATATGTTAAAATATTTTTGCCGTCGGCCTAAAAACCAAGCATTCTACAGTTTCATTAACCTTTTTAACAGTATCGTTGTAAATCTCATCAAATATTGTTCATAAATTAGGATTTTAAATGGAAAACCCCACGGTAACACTAAAGTTCGTATACGAATTTTAACATGCAAATGAAGACTATAATCAGCTCGTGTATGCGCTACGTCACGGTGGTATAGTTGCTATCCGGAACACAGCAAATATAAGATTTTCTTGTGCGAACACACTTTTTACCGTTTAACCTTCACGGTGCACTAGGCCTGTGGTTCAGAAAAAATAATCATCTCATAAAAAAGATAAAATTTGTAAGAAAATATCCGTTACAATGCGGAAATATACCGTTAAATTAGGACTGCTACTTATAGTCATGTTTGTTGATTTGATATTGATGTACGGATGATCTGAAGGCGGAGTTTATCATGAAAACAGAAATTGTACTTCCGAATTCGCCATAATGAGGTTGCACATTTGTATGCTCATTAAACTCATTTTGGTTGTCTGGACACCAAAATAAGATCTGGGGTCGATATGAAACACAATTTATTTATGAAATGTCGCTATTTCTTTTTTTATGAAATTTATTTAATGTAACTTTAAGCAAAAGCACCCTGCACAACAGGACAAAACTAACGTGAATTAGTTTATGAAACAGAATATACAATATGTGAAACACCATTACATATTACGAGTAATAGCGAGCTCGACGAGCTGGCCCGAAGGGCCTGCTCGCAAAGCGAGCTTTACGGTAACGCGAGTACCTGCTAAGTGATGGTTTTGAAAACTTTCGTCCAAAGTACCGAATTGGACACATCGCAACCTTTCGAATTTAAAGATAACGATAAAAACTGAGGAATTCTGACTGAAAACGGATGTGTAGACTGGTCACCCGCACGTCTATGGGAACCATAATTGGACAGGGAACCAGAATAACGGAAGCTGTGTATAAAAAATGAAAGTCGAAGGTGCCATTTTGTTTGAAATCTGATAAATAAAAACAATTTTTTGTCGAATTTTGTTGTGAAAACTATTTAGAATGAAAGAAAATGGTCTAACTAAGAAAATTAATCCGAACACCAATATCTTTTATTCAGTCGTTAACGCTGTACAGACGTTTAAAGTATTGTTTACGTGACGTCACAATGTAGCGCCAAACAGCACGTGCAAAACAAACAAATCAAGTACGCTATTTTAATGTCGCAAACGATTTAAGTTTTACATTTATTTCACTTCAAATAATCTTTATTTCGCTTGAAAAATTATAGAGTGAAATAAAATAAACAAAGTTTTATCAACGTTTTCAAAACTCGTTATTCATTTCACGACAGGGGCGGAGCGATATTTAACACAGTACGTGTGACTTCACACGCACTCGTTACTGCATTTGAAATAAAAATGAGCGATTATTTCATACTATCCACGTAAAAAGTACATCGAGCTCGCTTTGAGGCTTTGCCTTTTTCATATTATGAAAAAGGCAAAGCCTCAAAGCGAGCTCGATTTTCTTTTACCGTAAAATAGTTAAAAATAATCGTTCATTTTTATTTTACATTTTCCGTTTTAAAATTGTAATTCGGTATTTTATACATTGCTTCCGTTTATTCTGGTCCCCCTTTCTATTAAGGTTCCCATATAAGTGCGCAGGACACCAGTCTACGCTTCCGTTTTCAATCAGAGTACATCGGCTTTTATCGTTATTTTGTAATTCGAAAAGTTGCGATGTGTCCAGTTCGGTACTTCGGACGAAAGTTTACAAAACCATCACCTAGCAGGTACTCGCGTTACCGTAAAGCTCGCTTTGCGAGCAGGCCCTTCGGGCCAGCTCGTCGAGCTCGCTATAACTTGCTGGTTTTCGGAAATGTCTTTGCCCTGCTTTGAATTTTAAACACATTATTTCAAGTAAAATGGATTTCAATATCAAAATACAAAAAAATCAGCGACCAACAGTATATAGTCTGGTCAGACTACACGGATGTTCAGGCTGGCCTGGCTTCCAGAAAGTTCCGGTAAATGTAAAGTACAAGTAACTAGGCAACATTTATCAACAAATATTGTAGTTCTGAAAATAATTGTCAAAAGTCATAAATGAAAAAGTTTAAATTTCTTCAAGACGAGTATAGACATTTTAAAGCGTATACCATATATAGGTGCATCTGATGACATGAAAATTAAAACCAGTAAAATTATGTTTTTCCCATAACCATATGATTGTTTCTTGACAGATTTGTAATGTGGAATGTCACTATAATTTGATATAAATGAATACTGTACGTTGACAAAATATTAAAAATATTCTGCTGCTAGTTTTAGTAGGTTTGACCATCATTTCACATATACCTCACACGTTTTCAATAAAATATACTCACAAATTTCTTTCATTCTAGGTATTCTGTAATCATTTTATGTCACAATATAATCAAAAATTTACAATCCACAGACAGAGAATATTGAAACTTTATACACTTAAACAAAATTCAAAAAGCAATGTTGTTAATTGATTTTCTGCAATGCGTCATCTTTTTAACGTTATAAAAAATGAAAAAGTGATCGTAAGTTTAGAAGATTCTGTCCAAATTAAGAATAAATAGATTAAAAATATGTTTTAATTAATTTAATAATTCATTTCTTTGATACATGTAATACAGTACAAAGTGCTGAACATGTATTTCTGAAGAAGACGTACATGTTTATTGCTAGAATGATTTTTGTTTGATAGATATTGAACATATCTTCCAGTCCGAGCAAATAAAACGTAGATTTGACTCTAGAAATATCAATTATGAGCAGCACAGTAGATCAATTAAGGAAGCAGGTGTGGGTGGGTCGGTTAAGGTGCGTGTAAGAAATTCACTCATAACTTGATATTCCTATTAAGCTTGCGAAATATCTTAAATGGGTTTGTCTTTCTTTCAATCTCGACAAAAAATTCATCATTTTAGGGACAAAATTAAAATCGCATGACCATGATAAGATTGCAATGATGTGCAGGGGTAACGTTGTAAACTGACCCCCATAATATAATGACCACCGGTCAATATTTTGTATAAAATAATGACCCCCGGTCTTTACTGGACTCTTTCAAAGAAACATTGTCAATATAATTATCTCAGATGAGAAATATGCTAATGTCACTTGTCCGTGTGTGTGTCCGTGCGACCGTGCAACGATTCGACTGAATCTTTTCACTGCTATTTGACGGAATTGTTTCAAGCTACTATAATGGAAGCCCAACCTCAGTCTGCATTTTCTACAAGTGACAACGGCTAGGGATATGTCATTCGACTGCAGTCCTTGTTTGTTCTTATTAGCTCGACTATACGAAGTATATGGAGAGCTGTCCTACTCGCCCCGACGTCGGCGTCAAGAGTTTTGGTGCGGTAAAATATGTTTGACCATAACATTTTCATTTCTTAAGGTATCAACTTAAAACTTCGATTGTATGTTCCTTATCATCAACCACATCTTATGTGTTAAGGTTCATAACTCCAGTACCAATATTTCAGATTTATTTCCCCTTGAACTTGGAATTTCATTTAATTTTTTTTTACTGATAGTATCTGTCAAATGTTGCGGTTCAGATCGGAATATCTGTCCCGAGGGACCCCGCCCATTGGGCGGTAACGAGGCTTGCCGAGTTACCGCCCATGGGCGGGTTTCCGAGATGCGGATATTCCGGTCCGAACCACAGACATATGACAGATATTTTTTCTTGCATATTCTGCCACATTGGTTTAAACATATTTTATTCGATATATTTACATTATGATGAACAATATTTACACAATACATTTGGGATTGGGCAGAAAGCTATGAAAGCTTATGAGTGTCCTGTCCCAGTTTAAACAATTTACATGTATACAGTTCATGGCATTATCATGCACAATTTAGTTGAAAATATATCAAAGACATTTTCAAAAAATATGTATTTTGCAATTAATAAATAATATGAAAAAGGCAAAGCCTCAAAGCGAGCTCGATGTACTTTTAACGTGAAATAGTATGAAATAATCGCTCATTTTTATTTCAAATGCAGTGACGAGTGCGTGTGACGTCACACGTACTTTGTTAAATATGGCTCCGCCCCTGTCGTTAAATGAATAACGAGTTTTGAAAACGTTGATAAAACTTTGTTTGTTTATTTTATTTTACTCTATAATTTTTCAAGCGAAATAAAGATTATTAAAAGTGAATTAAATGTAAAACTTAAATCGTTTGCGACATTTTAATAGCGTACTTGATTTGATTGTTTTGCACGTGCTGTTTGGCGCTACATTGTGACGTCACGTAAACAATACTTTAAACGTCTGTACAGCGTTAACGACTGAATAAAAGATATTGGTGTTCCGATTCATTTTCTTAGTTAGACCATTTTCTTTCATTCTAGATAGTTTTCACAACAAAATTCGATCAAAAAATGTTCTTATTTATCAGATTTTTCAAACAAAATGGCGCCTTCAATTTTCATTTTACATTTTCCGTTTTAAAACTGTCATTCGATATTTTATACACAGCTTCCGTTATTCTGGTTCCCTGTCTAATTATGGTTACCATAGACGTGCGCGGGTGACCAGTCTACACATCCGTTTTCAGTCAGAATTCCTCAGTTTTTATCCTTACTTTTAAATTCGAAAAGTTGCGATGTGTCCAATTCGGTACTTCGGACGAAAGTTTTCAAAACCATCACTTAGCAGGTACTCGCGTTACCGTAAAGCTCGCTTTGCGAGCAGGCCCTTCGGGCCAGCTCGTCGAGCTCGCTACTAAACCAAATGGTCATGAGAAAAAAAAAGCAAAAGATAAATGAAACAAAATGGAGGTGAAAAAACTAAATTCTTGCATCTCAGCCAGGATTATCTAACGTTTTCACCGGTGCTAGAAAACTCTGTCTAAGACAAGTCGCGTGCTTTAAATGACGTCATTGACGCGCGCCTTTTATGAATGAATCGCGTTCTTAGGATGACGTCATTTTTCCGTTATGAATGAAGTTGTATGTTCATACGCTACTATAAGAAAACTATTCTATAATTAGATTTTCGTGAAATTTGTTCCCGTTCTCATTCATTAATATGACATGCTGCGAATCACCGAAGGGGAAACCAATATGTGACTTTACATAATAGAAGTCGGAAGGAATTCTTCTTTCCGAATTCATTTTTAGCTGGAAATCGAAGGGATTAATTAATACAAATCGGGTCCATGGATAAAAAAATAGTTACACAATGAAATAGAACATTCATTAAATTGAAATGTAACGAAGCAAAACAACCCAATTTGTGATGAAAACGACTTTTCCGTGATCCGTACATTTACGAAACGAACGCTATATCACTGTGCCTTTATGCACTAAGCATAATTATATAATTGACTTACACGCGCACAGTGCCTAATCGTTTCGGGCTGATTTGGAATATTTTCCCGTTCCTGAACTGATTTGGATTGATTGGCACGTACTACAAATTCATCACTGGATAAAACATTTTACAAAAACCATTAAATTATCGCGGAATGATTTTTTTTCTATAACTGATCATGAAATACCTGAAAAATCATAGATAATAATGACTTTTTGCCAATTTTATGCTAGTGTATACTACTACTTCACTGACATGTGAAATTTTTTTTTTGATTCCAACTCGTAAAAGACCGTTAACAAACCTTATAAAGTTGTATATGATTTCCTTAATTAAAACATTGCAATGTAACGCAATGTAACGTGCAAGTAGAATATTCAAAGACTAAAAGATGGAATTGTGTTTATTTTATATATTTTCTGACCATGTCAAGCAAAAAATCCATTTTATCTGAATCAACCGGTGCCAATAAATCCAAATCAGTTCAGGAACGGGAAAATATTCCAAATCAGCCTGAAACGATTACGCACCGTGTAACAGTCACAGGCACTATAGACACAATTAATTTACCCATATACGCTATAATACTATATATAAAGAATACTCTTTATATTATAGTATTGGGAGTGTATATGGGTAAATTAATTGTGTCTAGTGCCTGTGGTAACAGTGCAGCTCGTAGAAAATTCAGGTGATAAATGTTTGCTTAATATGCACGGTATGTGTTACATTTAGTTCTAAAATTAAGTGATAAAGAACTGATTTCTTTCAGTCAAAAAAGCTATTAACGTATATAAGGCTGATGACCTATATATTGCTGAATTGCCTAAATGAAGGCAAAATATGAAGAAAAAAAGAAGAAAAAGAAGATTTGGACTCATTCATACCGAACTGTTAAAAAATGAACACTCTTTCAGATAGGAGAATTTGTATTAAGCATTTTATACTTTAAATTTCATTTTATTAGATGTTTGCTTATTCTAAGCCGGACCTCTGAATTTTGCCTTTGTTTTGTCAGCTGTTATCGCGGCAGTAGCAGCAACAATACCAGAAGCAGCAACAGGCACAACAACAGCAACAATACTAATACGCAATTGTAAGATGATGTTGACTTTACAGATTATGTTGGGTGGTGGTCAATATTTTATAAATAAAATAGGGGGTCATTATTTTATATATAAGAGGGTCACTAATTTATAGATGGGGTCACTATTTTACATAAAGTAATGACTGGGGGTCATTATTCTATTGGGGTCACTTTAAATTTACTACGTTACACCGGCGGATATGCACTCCACTGGTCGCATAGGTCGAAGCAGCTGCTGCCAGCAGGCTAATGGTTATTTATTATTAAAGTTATTTCGTTTGTAGATCGATTTTCTGTGTTAAATTTTTTAATCTTTTATGTGTGACAAATCTTTGAAAAATTGTATCGATATTTCTTTGGTACGAAACATTTGATTAAAAATACTCTTTACGTGAAAGATAGTAAAGTAATTCATAACAAAGGGGGAGAACTCTATGATTCCCTGATACAATTCAGTTGTCAAATGCAGAAAACTATGCACATTTGTTGTCTCAAGTTGTGTATTTAGTATTTGTGTGGATATACTCAGTGATAAAATGGAAGTATTTCAAACCGACAATCACTACATCATTCTTGACGGGGAATTTAGTCTCTGGTGCAGTAGAAGACATGGCACTCTTGAACCTAAGACAGGTAGGTGGTTCCTAAATTATCCGATGTTCCTACATCTGTACGCATTATCATAGCCCAAAATATCAGACTTGCACTTGTTATAGTTTATGATTGCCAAGAAATAAAACTATCACAAAGCATTGTCATATTTATTGGACAGGTTAAACGTTAAGCAGATAAGTGATAAACTGAACAGCTGAAGTGATTTGCAAAGCCCAGTGCAGGTTAGTAGGAATATTTTGACGTACCAAAGCTAAATTATGATATGTTTTTGACGCTAAATTTGAACTTAGATTCTCAATTCTAGTAGAGGGGAGATATTGCCCATACACAAAATAGCACAATATATTCTCAGTGCGTAGTACAATTAGAATGTCAGAGGTTTCACTCCCAAGACATTTCACTATTGAGACGTTTCACTCCCAAGAAGGTTCGCACTTAGATGTTTCACTCCCATTTTGTCAATTGAATGACGTTTCACTCCCAATTTTTAGAGATGTTTACCAGGAAAGTTAACAAATTTCAATTTCATTAATATCAAACAACTGGTGTAAAAAGGAAATTCAATTTAATGTTTCATTTTGTTGAATTCAATGGTATTGTTAATATGAATTATTAGAAGATTACTCATTTAATTATTGGTTGTGTGTTAAGAGGTGTAAATGAAAGACAAATTTCTGAAATATCACTTTTATTATAAGTGTAAGAACATGAGAAAATTCTATTTATAGTATTAGTAAATTAAAAAAAATAAAATTCATTTGTTTGTAGCATAGAAAGAACAACAAAGACATAAGTATCAGTTTAAATATTGAAATCACTACCAGTAAAGTAATTAATATCAAATAATAAAAAATATCAATATATTAAATATATTGACTTTATAATGATTATTTTTTGTAAGTCTTAAACAATGAAATGCGAAACATGTGTATAAAATAAATTATTTTTTAAAATTATTTTCTTCATTAATTTATTAAACAGTATCTATTAAACAAACTAAAGTAATTGTGGACAGTAAGTTATCTCATCCCCTAATTAGTTGTATAAACAATGAGACAATCAACTAACAGTTTGACACCACTATGTCATCAGTTGTATAACCACTGCACTTAAGCATCAACAGTTTACTTATCAGTTGTTTATTGGACCACTAAAATATTTTTTGACAACAGCCAATTTAAACACAGAAACTTCTCAATCATTTTAGATTATAATTATATAATAACGAATTTTTAGTAACAAAAAAATGATTATACACGACAAATATTGAAAAAATCCCAATGCTTTAATTTAATTTAAAGATAATTCAATTCTGATTTCAATGGCCATTAAAATTTTTGACATATATCACAATTAAATCACTATAGTATACTACCATTAAATAATTTAACAATTTTTTATCCCATGTTTAAAATTAACAACAAAAAAACACGTTACTCAAAGTTAATTGTTGTCACAAGATTGTTATGCTTTAAATTAAAATTGCCTATTGAGTCCATGTTTACAAAAGATCAAATAGTTAGTTATATTAAAGTGTTATTTTAATCAAAAATATTTTTTCTTTAAGTGAAATAATGTGATAATTGCACATATGGATCAAAGAATAGAAAAACACCTTATTTCAAAACAACAATAAAGAAGATAAGATAACTGAAATGATAGAACTTAAAGTACTGAGTTTTAAGTCATTGACAAAAAAGTGAAATCCCCCTTTTTAATTTATTTTTATTAAATTTAAGGTCTATTTTAGTTCAATTCAATATTTTAGGTCTATTTTAGTATATCATAAGTATCAAAATAATTTTGGTATAAAAAGGGAGTGAAACGTCTTGGTGTGAACTGTCTTGGTGTGAACTGTCTCAATAGTGAAACGTCTGTCTACCGTACAATTAGTTGGACTTAAAGTTCAGGTATATCTAGACAATTATATAATGATATGGGAAAGTCAAATATCGGGTCCGCTAAGTCGGCTTTGGGCCTTTGGCTTGGTGGGTAATATATAGACTACACATGTAAATTTTAAAGGGAATAAAAAAAACAAAGAATATATAGAAATCTATACCTATCAATGAAATTTTAAGTGTCTGTTTTAGTTGGGCACAGCCAATTTCAATGTAACGCAGTGGTAATGGGGGGGGGGGCATTCCAATAACAGAACAAATTAATTTAATGCAATGCTTTCTCCAGTTCAAACAGCTTGGTATTTCCAAAATGTTGGAGAGAAGGCTCTGACTTTCCCATCAACAGCCCTAGGGAATAGCAAGGTTTTTGAATTTTAGATTTTTGTATTCTGGGTAAAGGCCCTGCCCAGTGGGGATACTCTTAAAGTCTAATGATAAAATGTTTAAAAGTCCTGCAAAATGCCCCCACTTTCTGAGTTGGACATACAATGTATCTTCTGCTACTTTGCACCAAAAACAAAGCCACCACCGTGACCTGACAGATCAGTGACAGAATGTAAAACTTTACAGTATTTATGTCAGATGTGCTGGGAGATGTACCTGTAGTTCTAGCAAGTTGCTTAGAACTACCATTATATCTTTATAAGCAGCATAATGACTGATTCTTAACAATAAACAGGATGAAGTGAATTAATATACATGCATATAAAAAATCAAGTGTTATGTTGATGTTAGAAGGTTTTATGAGGGCAATCTTAGTGTAAGTTCTGGACAACGGCATTTAACTAAACAACAAATAACGGGTTCTGTTAAAATGTCACTGATATTTGATACACCATAGCTAACTTGTGTAACTTGCAAAAGACCAGCATGACCTCATAATTATGTTATGTGACATGATGTCAGTATTTTTTCTTTTCAAAATATTCACTAACACTTTTGATATTGAGTGACCCACTTATACCACCTACACAGTTTGAACTGAAAAAAGCATATTGTCCTTTGTATATTGAGTTCTATACAAAATACTCATCCACTTCATTTATACCTTTTGCCAACAGAGCATAAAAAGTAAAAGATAGTTCAGTTATGTGACAAATGAGTATTCTGTTTGAAACTGTAACACTTAGATATACAAAAAATAGAAAGTTTCTGAGAAATAAAAATGATAGCTTTTCTGAAGCTAAATAGGCCTTTATTGATTCAAATGTGACCTTGACCTTTGAATGGCCTTGACCATCATGATCAACTTTCAAACTTGAATTTTATTTTTTGAAAGAAAAATAGCATTTTCATGAACTTTTTACTATAATATTCTTCCTGTGATGTGTTTGACTTTTGAAATAAGAAAAAGTTGAGCATGGCCCCTGCTAGGCTGAGACTCTTGTTTTTTTTATTTGAGATATGGTGATTCTGAGTTCATGTGAATGTTTATATTTTACTTTAAATAAATTCTTAATTTCATTTGAAAGATTATGTGTTATTTTATTTCAAGTTGCCTATTACAAACTAATTGTTTATGTTTATTCACCTTCATTGCATATTGTGGACAATTTTGAACTTGGCCATACAATATTTTGTAACAGCCTTCAGTAGACTAGACACACTGGAACATGACTTTTAATATCACCTTGACTACCAAATGACCTTCACCTTCTTTGGTGTGACTTAAAATCCCATTCTTAACAAAAACAAAAAAATCACTTTCATTTTCAAATTATCAGAATTAGGAAATTCCATGGTAATTTATACATTTCTTAACTATATTTGGATGCGTTTTGCAAACTTGTTTTGTACAAGAAATCAAGAAATGTTATCATAAATATCATGACCATTTTGCCAGACTGAAAGTTATATAAACAAATAAACGTTCCCAGCAATATACTTTATTTAAACCCGTAATATCTAATGATTAATCATATTATACTACTGCATATTAAGCTCATGTTAATTGATATCTAATTAACATCTAATTGTCATGTATATAATCATTTACATCTAATTATCATGTATTTTCAAGTGTACAGCTATCATTTTCAAGTATTAAATGAGTTTCCTTCAGGTCAATGTAATACAATTCAGGGATTTTTTTTAGGACTAAGCTATTCGGCCCAATTACCATCTTCTAAAAGTATAAGTATATTTCAGAAAAAAAATTCCTCTGCCAGATACAAAATAAATTTTGTTTTAAGGTCCATTCTTTTTAAATATTGTAGTTTTAAATCATAATGGTGTTGTATATATCAAAATTTAAAATCAAACTCATTGGGCAGGGCTCCTCTCCAGATAATTTTTTAGGGCAATGAATATTTACTCATTGATTTTTTTGCGAATGAGTGAAATTTTGAAATTTTAAATCTGGAATTTTGGAGGAGTTATTTTACTCCTTGAAATTTTTGTGAATAAGTAAAACCCCTTAATCATGATTATGTTTAATGCATACTGTTACAAAGTGACAATGTATACATTTGTAAAATGTATGTTTACCTACATTTTCATTGTTAATTTGTAGTTATTAAGCTTATTAAGTCATCCTCTGCTGTTTGTGATTTAGTATTTTTCGGCAAAATTGATTTCACTTTGATATTGTTTTGAAAGAGCGAAAATGAGAGTAACTCAACAAAGCTTATTCACACATTTGTGATCAGCAATAAGTTTATGTTTTGGTTACGCAGGAGAAATGTTGTTCAGTGGGTAATCACAATTTCTTGCGCCTTTTTTGACGCTTGAAATTTTAATTGCATGCATAAACCTTGTGATTTTAATTGCATAATTTACGCATTTTATCTGGAGTCCTGTCAGACACTGTTTTCAAACTTTTCCCTCTGTTACGCAATTTTCCCCTGTCATTGGGGCCCTGCTTCCATTCCCCTAAAGGTAATTTTTTTTAAAACTTTGGCCCTGCTGCCATTCCTTTATGGCTTAAAAGAAATCACTTAAACTATATTATGAAAATGTTGTTTGTTTTCAAAGATTTACAAATAATAATTTAATAAGAATCATTAATGTCAGCAGCCAGTTGTATATGTGTTTTTGTTCATTTTATTGGAATTTGTTTTGATATAACAATGAATTTGTCAAAAATGTGTTTATAAAAAAAAACTTTCCTGACTACAATTCTTGAACTTGTACCTAAGGTTACAGGTCTTGATGTAGAAAAAATAGAAGATAAAATATGTTTATACTTGATTATAAAGCAAAATTTTTGAGTGTTTTGCTTTTATTTAACATTATTTTTTAGCAAAGAAAAATAAAGACAGATAAATAAATTTTCAGCTCACTTGATGAGCATGTTGTAGAATTGAACTGCTATGTTTCTATTAACAATGCTCCCACTGAAAATTCTGATAGATGTTAATGTTTGGCACCAAATATGCATGTTTTATTAATGAATTTTATTGGCCATACAAGTAGAAGAGTTAAACCACTATACATGTATGTAATACAGCTTTAGTGGAGTAAGTCTATTATTACACAAGTGGTTTGTGATGTGCTTGAATTTAAAAAGTCAAAAGAAGAACTACATGTAAATAATAAAGCTGCATGTCTCTAGATGAGCCCAAATTTGTTCAAGAAAATCAATTTTGAGAAAAATGTACTAAGATTTCAAGAAAAGTAAAACTATTCACAATTCATAATATTATAATGATTTACATGTTATGTGCAATGAATTTCTGATTTTGCAGTATTTATCACCATATTTTTTATACATGTATGTGGCTATAAATGCAGTTATTAAGGGCTATTAATTTTTGTAAATTTCTATCTTTACTTGGTTATTTTATACGTAGATTGAAAGTGCGGTTTGCTATGTGTAAATTACTTTTTTTTGTTCACTTAACAATATTTTTTAATACATTTTCAAAATTTTCATGAAAATTAGCATGACTGTAGAGGCATGCTGGGAAAAGTATAATTATTTTTACATGTATTACTTTCTTGTTAAAACATGACAATTCATGACAAAATGTGTGATGTGCATTATCTGCCAACAATATCTCTTGTCAAAACTACTCTGGTAGATTTTGATCAAACTGCACAGATATACATGTAATTTAAGGTTGTCTTCTACACAAGTTGTACAGCTGATTCCAGTGGCACAGGAGCTTTATTTCAAATTTGAAATCTTCAGAAATTAATTAAAACCTCTTGAGCATAGAAATTTGGTATGAATGATTGTCTAGTGATCCTCTAATAGTATGTAAGTTTTATTAATCATTCCCCAGTAATCAAAACTTACTTAGTTTTTCATCCCACTTACATTTATTGATTGATATTTTAGAAACATTCATTGCGTGTAGTTTCAGGTTGATTTGGTCAAGGTCACTGATAGAATTTCCTAAATTAGCATTGTCAAGGCAACAGCGAGGACTTTCCATTGGTGTTTCAGATATTTTTGTTTTGAATGTAAATATTGCTCCATTTTTTAAAAAAAAACTCTTAACCTGCTAATTTTCTTAAATCAACTTGTTCAAGCTTCCATTTTTGGAACCGTCGAAGTGTATTATCAACTATAAAAATTTAGTCAGTCAACAGTATAGAGCCTGGTCATTATACTCCTGGCCTGGCTATACATGCATACTGGTGGATAAGGATAATAACAGCAGGTTATGGGTTATTTTCTGTCCTAGATCTAATTTGAATGAATCAATTAATACAAATATTTCTTTATATTTTAGGGAATGATTTGTGTTCAGCCTGGAACCCAGTATGTATAGGTTTGGTGTATGGTGTTATTGGAAAGATCAAGATTCATTCTGGTAAGTCCTTGACCTTCATACAGATTACTTCTTCATTTATGTTATAGACTTTGTGTTTGAACTATCCAGTGTTTATTGAAGGGTTTTCATTATTTACCCTTTACCTTCTTGAATCAAAAGAGAGTAGCCTTTGCCACCAGTTTACAACTATGTCAGCAGTCTGACCAGGCTCAATTATTGGCAGCTCAATTATTGTACTTTAATTGATATTGAAACCCCTTGAACTTTGAATTTCACAGCTGGACAGGTCATTATAGAAATATAGAAGATTAAAACACTTAGAATAGGGAACATGATAGAGTCTGATAAAGCTTTACTCTAAGAAATTTTAAAATAAAAATGATGAATGAGTTTGTTCAGGCTCAAAAGATGGACATGTCTATTCAAGAAATTTAGCAGGGTAAGGCCAATATTATACATTTGAATTGCTCTATATTGGTGGAATATAGGCATGCCAACATCACTTGTTTCATTCAGAGTGTTAATAAGAGACAAGGTGTACAAGTGTTGCCAAGATGTATAAATTTTTAACACAGTAAACCATAATACAATAAAATTATGCAGCGATTTCAAAATACCAATTTGTATTACCATAAATACAAATGATTATGTATTAACCTTAAAAAGGAAAGAAGGAGAAAACAATTTGTTTAAGCCAGATGCAGGGAAATGTTATCAGAACTTATCGTCATACATCATGCTGCCAGCTGGCCTGGCTCTATGTGTGATAATTACACAATGTAGGTCTACTGTAGTCTTCTGTATTTTCTTCAAATACCCTTCCAATAGCACTGAAAGAATTAAACAGTTTTTCTCGGAGGATTTCCCAAACGAGTAATCAAGTCACTGTTTGTTGTTACTGTTATATTGATCAGCTTGGAGAAGTAGATAAATTACTACAGATCAGTGTTGGAGGTCGCAATCTATTATCTTATAACCTAACATTAGCTTTGTTTTTCACTTCAAAGAGATATTTTAAAGAGAATCATTTAAGATTATAAATATTCAGATTATTGGGTTGATGATTCAGTCTGTTTTGGTAGAGATATTCACTGTGTAAATTGCTTTATCTAACTTTACATGCTTTGCATTGTCATCAGGTACAAAGTTAGGTCTACCAACCTTGGATGTATGTACTCGAGTTCTAGTTACGAATTAAGCAATTTTTTCTGTGACAGTTTCAGTGGTTAGGACCATTATTTCAGTCTTTAGCTGTGTTTCAGTTGATTTTTGTGGAGAAGTTGCCATTTACTTGTGGTAGAATTGGTTAGAAATGAGGCAGAAAATTGATCAGTTTCTGGCCCCCCACCTGCACTCTCATAACTGCTAACCCATAACTCTTATTTGCCTTTCTTATATACTGTCTTAAATCTTTTCTGGTCAATATCTATAAATAAATTTATATAAAAAATATAGATGTATAACAACATCCCCCAATCTAACCTTTTTTTTTGGTGTGTGTATGTTGTTGGGGGTGGGGCAAAAGCTGAAGGGTGGAGACCAGAAACAAATGATGTAATTTTTTTTTGTCGTAAATGATTCAATGTCTCTATTGTCAATACTTGTCTGGCTAATGCCCTTTACGGAAGTCATTTACTTGTTTTAAACTCCAAACTGATGTGCCCTAATCTATTATTTATAAATGCTATACTGACTGTTTACTGTATAGTCAGTGTAAGCTATATGATAGAAATGTTGTAGTTGTAGTATATTTTAAAGATACAAGGTCCTTTTTATCACCAAATTGCCGTGTGTTACCTTTAAAGGTTTAAATGAAAGCATCAGAACTGCAGCCATCGTATATCCCTGCATGATTGTAAGAGGCAGCTAAATGGCTTTTGCATCACCGGCCGAAAACAGTTTCAGTAGTATTATAGATTAAGAGGGCATCACTAATAAGATTGTACAGTGAGTTCACACAGCTGATGTATAAATTATGAATTTTGTAGGTTGAAACTTGGTCATGTTCACAAAAGCCTTTAATGAAAGACTTTCACATATGAAAATATTGCAGAGAACATATTAAACATATGCACAGACAATCAGTATAATATTTAAACTATAGTATTTACTTACTTTACAGAACATTGTAAATAGAATATTATAATAATGATAATATAAGAAGGCATTTACTATAATTAACCTTCTTGACATCCAGGTGTGTAAGAAATTTATTTCTTGCATATCAGACTGGCTTTTTAAACCAGTAACTGTAAACTGTAAACTTCCATAGCAATCAGTGACTTTCATAGCAAACATTTACTTTTGTTAGCAATGAGTAACTCTACCATTAAATTTCATAGCATTCAGTGACTTCCAAGGAAACCATTTATTTTGTATATAGCAACCAGTGACTCTTTAGTAACTTATTGTTTTCCCTTAGCAAAAGCAACCAGTATTGTTTTTACACATGCACTATTTTATAATCATATATGAACTTTATGATATCAGTTTAAGATTTAGATTTTATATTGGCTTTCACCTATAGTTTACAATATAATTACTTGCTCCTTGTCATTAAGAGTATTTGTATTCAGGTGAGCGATATTAGGGCCATCATGGCCCTCTTGTTTAGTAACTAAAATAAATTCATTGAAGGCTTCTGATTTACTTGTCATTGCATATCTCTCAACCCTGCTTGAATTGTTCAATTTATGGCCTTTATCAGTTACATGTAATTAAGGAATTTAATAAATACAAATAATTCAAATATTGAGCTGCAAAGTGTTTGAATCAAGTTAAAAAGCATCAGACAAAAAAGATGGTTTAGGTACATTTTTGTAATTGACCAATGAACCAATGATACTTGTAACTATAAATGTACACAAAAGATAAAAAACTTTTGAGAAATAAATTTAAAAGCATTTCTTGGGCATAATGGGACTTTAATAGGTTAACTCTTAAAACAGTATGGCCTTTAGATTAATGCTAATTTTTATGAAATTTTTTAAAATGTATTAAAATTTAAAGAGTAAGATATTGTTAAGTGGACAAAGAAAGTAATTAAGAGATTGTAAATGGCCCTTAAAATCTATGAAAATTACCAAAAATAGCTAAATATTTATAAACTTTCACTTTTGTAAAAGGACAGTTTTTAAAATTGGAAGCTTTACCAGTCCATATGATAAATTCAGCAAGTTATGGGATCTTCATTAGTATTCAGTGGGTTAATTACTTTTATAAGTCTTTTTAATTTGTTAATTAAGTTGAAATTGTGAAAATACTGTTAGCTAAATCTTTGTAAACTTTTACTTTTGTATTTGATCAGTATAGAAAATTGGAAGCTGTACAGTCATGTCCATAAAGTCAGCAACTTAAGGGTTAAATTCATGATCCACCCTGGCTTTCAATGAGTTAATTAATTTTGTTAGTTTTTCTGTTCCTTTCTACTCATATTACTGTTCTTGTCAGAATTATTTGTTACAAAATATGTTAACCTTTATATATGACTTAAATCAGAATCATTGATTCTGTTTCATATTTTGTATTGATGAAGAAAAATGCTGCCTCACTTATATATATAGATTATAATAGTAATAAAGACTGTGTTTTTATTCTGAATGACATGTTAACTAAGTACAACTATTTTTTTTGCCTCTCTTGGGCATAATGTTCATTAAGCTTGCTTAATATAGCATTCATTATGCAATAATAATTCCCATATTTTGAATATTGCGTGACTGCAGGCCTTTATGTTTTATGTTTTTTTCCCCCTATAAGCTTATACATAGATAGTATTCTCACAGGGCATAAGCTGAAAATATACCCTTTTGCTACATAAATATCTCGAAATTGCTGTTTTCCCAAAAAATCAATTTTCACTTGACCTTTTCAAGACTATTTCAAGTCTATTCTTGCCTTAAATTACTTTGATGAATTATCTCAGATTTCACAATATGATATAGATCTTTATTATAAATGAGTTGAAGAGAAAACTTTCAACCCCAGACACCAAGAAAAGGAAATTATGTTTTATTGATATATATTGTATCACTTTCTTTGGCAGTGAACAGAATTTGGAAATTTTATCTGAAATGGGCCGATTCTCATTTTCTTTCATTCTTTGAAAATGAATGGTCAGTTCTATCGATGAAGTTTTTTTTAGGCCAATTTTGTTCTTGTAATGATACTATCTTGTATATTTTATGAAACAAAGTAAAAGATTTGGGTGGAGGAGAACAACACAATAAACACCAGGGTGGTTTATGAATTACTTATAGTAAGATTGAATGATTCACTGGTCTAGTAAGACCTTCATCAGGAGCATGACCTATGTCTTTCTTTATACAGTGAAATTATAAAATATAATTTTCACTGTAGTCAAACAATATCTAAATGATGAGGAAAAGAATATTTCTTAAAGAAATGGAAATATTATCAGAAATATACTCCACTAATGTGAGTAAAAGGTGCTTGATAATGAAAAGCACATGAATATCTGCAAATATCATTGTAAGGAGATGTTTAAAAATTGGTGAAATTTTACAGAATTATTTTTGAACAAAAACAATCGGATGTCAGGATTTTATGACATCATGAATGAGAGCTCATGTCATTTGGCAGCAAAAATCAGTTAAAATGATTTAAAAAAAACCCCTAAAAAGCATAAAATAATTAGAAAATTTGTTTCTTTTTTATGTCAGATCAAATTAATATATTTTTACACATGAACACCAGCTCTTATACATGTTTTTTTCACTCTTGGCCTATATGCCACTTGTAAAAATATTGCATCAGGTGTTCACTCTGTGAAATATATTTCGATCTTAGATGCAAAACAAACAAAATATCCTCTATGTCTTTATAGGTATAATTTGTAACTAACGGAAAATTTAAGCCATCAGTATTAGCTGAAATTGACTCTTGAACAATTTGCCTGAAGGACTTTTATCAATCTAATATATCCCAGTGTAAGACAGTGTCTACACAAATCTGGCCTTGTCTATAATTAAACTGTCCATGTCTGAACTGTTTGTTAACCCAATTCATCTTTAACAAAA